TACTTACTAGACAACATTTCAAGGATAAATTACTTCTGACATCATATTTTCCGAATAATAAAAACATAACAGTAGTGTGGATATTATAACAGTCAATATAAGCCAAAACTTAGAGCAATAAACGTTGTATAGAAGTGAAGAGTTAGGTTATTGAGAAGCACTTAAACGTTTCTTATTCTTTGTAAACTGTGCAAAATTCTAATTTCAGAAACCTGTTTTCACTATTATTTCGATACATTGAATATTTCCATTTAGATATTTAGAAAAAGACTGATTGAACGAAGAAATATATTCCTTTTCAATTAGGTCTTCATCTGAGCCCCACCCATCATGGTTGAACAAGGGACAAATTAGAACTATAAAGAGCTCCATACTTGCACATTTAGTTAACACAGGACATCAAGTGGTTACTAGAACAGCCTTCAAAATTATCCATCAGATTCAAATTAATTTACCTCATGGATTACTCACTCGGTTACTTCACATGTCAGAGGCGATTGCAATCCACCTTCACAAACCTAGCCTTTGTATCCAAAAGAGGTTTGTTCGACCACTTTCATTACCATGTGTCGTCAACTTGATGTAACTCCTAGGTTTACTTTGTACACCTCTTCCCCTTCTTGTTTTTATCAATATTCATACTTCCAATTTTAGTAACTCTACTGATTATTTACATCATTGTTTCTGAAACATCACCATGTGATTGGTAATTTGATTAGGTTGTAAACCTGTATATTATTATAGAGCCCAAGATGAAGATCTAATTGAAAAGAAATATATTTCTTTCGCTCAATCAGTCTTTTACTAATATTTCGGTTTGAGTTGAACATTGCAGTTATTCTCTGTTAACTAACTATTTGGGCGGAGAATGTAATGCCAGATAACTATGCTGTCCAACTTCAAGGTGTACGTAGGAAGTCAATATCCGCAAATAACTATTACTATGTCAAACTTTTAAGATATTCTTCAACAACCATAGATAAATAATAAATGGCGTGTAGTAACCAGCAGTGGAATCCAGGACGTGTGTTCCATTCTATTTGCGTGACGCACAAGCTATGAAATTATGGAAAACCACGCTGCTTTCATCTCATAAAGAGTGGTCATCCTGACTTACTTGTCTAGTTGACATCACTCTGACGTTTATAGAGACCGGTCCCAGATTCGACTCCCCTAATGGGAACAACGTCCTTCACTAGGACGGAGGTACATCTAGCTGAGTCCCAAAATCGGACAGAATGGGCGTCCTGAATTTCACACCTAGCTACTATCAATCATCTGTAATGACAGTGAAAAATACCGACAATATTGAGGTAACCGCAGAACAGCATATATGCCAATAGTTGTCGAACACTTCTATCCAATCAACGACAAAGATGAGCAAGCCATAACATCAAGAAACACCAGGTTTTTTTTTACATAATTCATACTGGAAGAGAAAAAGAATGAATATTTCAAATGATTAATTATGGACGACAACTATGTGAGAAAATTGGCGGCAACAAGTGAATGAATAAGGCAACTCTTGCATAGATACCAAAAAAGGGTTCATTAATTTCCCTGAATGCAACAATGGAAAATCGTGAGTATCAATAATCAAATACTGTTGCTCGTTGAACAAGAGGTAGTTCTCTTAACTCGGTAGTCAGATGGATTACAATGTAGCGTTTGAAGCGGTGCTTTCTGTGATCGAATCTTAATTTAAACCACATCCAGCTGACAAGCTCTGAGGGAACCGAAACTAATAATAATAATAATCGTAATGAGATTAATGTCTGATTGACAGCTGTGTCTCGTAACTCAACTGATAGAGAAGGAAGCCAGTCACCTGGAGGTTGCTTGTTCGAATCCAGCAGCGACGCAGATTTCCTTTCCATCGTGAATCGTCGTTCAGGAGAAAAAATAAAACTCATGAGTCATTTACTTTGTCCATGATTTTTTGATAACCTAGCCTAGTTAACTAGTTCACTTGTTACTAGCCGGTCCTAAGACTGGATAAAGAAAGAAGATTGGGCATAGGGATACCAACCCTACCCCGGAAAATCAGTCCAATTGCTAAAGAAACTTCAAAGCACAAAGAATATGTAAAAAATAAAAATAAACTTATTTCTCACTGGAATCGGAGAGACGAAATGACGCCGATTGGTGAAAGCCTTCTAGGAGCCAATTGGCTTATGTGTCTTTTCTCGACGAAAGCGAAAGTAAGAATAGGGACATGGAATGTATACACCATGTATGAACCTAGCAAGGACAAAATAGGAGACACTGAGCAACATTCAAGAAGGAACCTCATGCGGAAGAACGCTGGAACTCTTTGAAAGATATGTGGAAAGAAACCTGCATAGCCGTATTAGGAACGAAGAAGAAAGAAGACAAGGAATCGATTTCGACTGACACATGGGAGCTAATAGAGGAAGGGGAGGAAGATAGTAAAGTAGAAGATGAATCAATACAAGGATGAACAAAGAAAAGAGGAATTGAACACAACCTATAAAACACTACACTGGACAAGGAAGTGAAAAAGAGTGCATGGAAAGACGAAAGACACTTCCATGACACACTGACAAGTGAAGCAGAACAGGTTGCTGGTAGGAGAGACAGAGACATGATAACACTACATAAAATAAACAGGCAACTATCTGAGGAAAAAGAGATCAACAAAGATGAGATCAGTGAACAATAATGGAGGGGAAATTAGTTACCAAAGGGGAGGAACAAAGGAAATAATGGGCTGATCACTTCAAAAATCTCTTAAATTGACCACTACCACCACCGCCTGAAAATCGTCCAAAAATACCACTAGCAGCCCAGTCACAGAATTGAACTACTAGTGAACACAAACCCTCCGATAAAAGCAGAAGCGAAGTCCCGAACGTCACGCCATAAAGTTGCTGAAATGTGGGCAAGTAGCACGACTAGATGGAATCCCGCCAGAGGCACAGAACGAAGACTCAGAGACAACATTGGATATGCTCACAACACACCACTATTGCAGAAGGTTTGCTATATAGGTAGGAAGGAAGGGAAGGTACCTATACGTTTTTTGGAAGAAGGGTCACCTTGTCAAACTCCCGAAGAAAGAAGACTTAAACGAGGAATCATGCTTCTGTCCACCCAAAGCAAGCAAAATATTGAGCCATATCATTCTAGAAAGACTAAAATGAAAATTCTATGGATTCAACTGGAGTACGACCGCAACAGGCTGGCTGACTGTCTTCAGGAGTAACAAATCATGTATGGATCAAATTGAAACGCCACGCTACGCATCATCATAGAACAGAGCATTGAATGGCAGTCAACTCAACTCAACCTCAACTTCATAGACCTTGAAGAGGTCTTCAGTAGTGTGGACCGAGAGGTAATTTGTCAGGTAGCTGCTTCAACACTACTGTTTTTGTGCCACAAACTTATATCAACCTCATTCAACAGGTATGTGCTGTATGATGGTGCTCCATGCCGAGTGATTGACAATGGAGAGCTCAGTGATTGCTTTGGAATGAAGACAGGAAGGAACAAGACAAGGCTACCTATAATAGCCGATGACCGTCCTGATTGTGATGGACTGGATCGTGCAGCAAACCGTGAGGAAGGAGAAGAGGTGCATACGCTGGATCGATGAAAAACCTTTAAAAATTTGGTTTTCACCGATGACCCGTGTCTAATATTACACAAACTCGAAGATATACAGGCAAAAACCAACAAGTTGGCAGAAGAGGCTGGATAGAGCAGCTAAGGAAGACGGGACTTCCTTCGTATGAACGTACAGAAGACGAAGGTGATGAAGATACCCAACCAACAACCAATCACCACCAACGGGGAAACCTAAAGGAAGTAGTATCTTTCACCTACTTACCTACCTAGACAACATCGTTTCAACTACAGGTGGCGGTATAGATAAGGATGCCAAAGCCAGGATCATAAAGACAGCAAGACAGGTCTTCATTTATCTGAAATCAGTGTGGAGGTCTACTGCACTTCACTCAGCAATAAGTGTGAACAAGATCCAGATTTTTAATACTAATTAAGTCAAATAAGGCAGTCCTTCTATGTGGTAGTCGAGAAACTTGACGTGTCACGAAAAGCATTTCCAACAAACTGCAGACATTCATCAACAGCTGTCGCATACGCTCGTTGTTCAAGATCAAATAACCAGAAAGAACTAGCAACAAGCAACTCTGACTAGCTGGCAACAAACCAACAAAGCAAGAACCTATCAATCAACAAATATGCACTGGAAGGAAGTGGAGATGGAGTAGATTGGACATACACTGCGAAAACCATTCGAAGACATCACACGTCAGGCTAGGCCGTGAAGTGGAATGCAAAGGGGAAACGACAAGTTGAGCAACCGAGGTGAGATTGACATGGAGGAGATGATATGAAGAAGAAATGAAACTGCAGAGAAGAGAGGCGTTCTACTGAAGCCGTTTGTTCCATTAAGAACCCAAGGGACAAATAATAATAATGATTTTTTTGATAAGCTTTTTCCTCGCTAACATTTAACTATTAATTAGTGACAAATGAAAACACTAATATTGTTCTTTGCGTGAGTAGAATAATACTGTTAACCAATGATATTCAATGATTTACTTTTCTCAGAATTCATTAGGCAAAATAACTTGTTTACTAATGAACAAATTATATGGAACTGATGATAATTACTGTTTTATTATTGTGAAAACAATTTTTTTTTCTATATCCATTGAAAACCTTATAAAGATCAAACTTGATTTATCTAGAAAAAAGAAAAAAAAGTATTTTTTTTTCAATAAAGATAGAAGAAATAAGGTGAAATTAATCAAGACTATTTAACTGAAGTATATTCCATTCAACTGATTCATTTCAATGAAGATATCTGTACACAGAAGATTGACAAGAAACGTTCGAATTATTTTTAGTTTCATCTGATAAATGGATGTTAATTACTCTTTTATATTTGTACAATAAAATCTCTTCTGATAATCTTGTCTAGTATTTAGTATCAGATTAGTTAAACATATATGCATCGTTTATTATACAATCATACGTACACGGCTATATTAGAGGAATGCTACACTCATCGTGAATTTAATCTTGGTAGTTACATTTTTTCAATTATTCTAGGTATTTTTGGTATATTATTAATTGTATTCAATACATGTATATCAATTATATGGATAATTTATATTATTGGATGGAAAACTACAAAAGTATCATATGATCATAATGTTCACACTGAAGGTATTCTACATCTTACAGTAGACTTACCGATTAAAAACAGTAATACTAATAATATTGTTACTGCTACTACTACTACTACTACTACTACTACTATTGTTCCTGATTGTATGACACACAATACTATCAATCGTAACTTTTATAAACCAGTATGGCCAAAATGTTCTCTGCGTATTTCTACACAGATATATATATTTTCTATTATAATATGTGATCTAGTTGGACATATGAGTTCTGTTTTACGATTCACTGTTCTATCAATGACTGGTAAAGATTTACGCTTATTATTCGGTGAATCAATGTGTCGTATTCAATTATATTTATCTTTTTCATCAACAAGTATATCAGGTTGGCAATTTGTTTTTCTTTGCTTTGAAAGATGTTATATATTAAGTAGGCCAAAATCGAATTATACACTTACACCAAAAATATATTGGTCTGCTATGATGTTAACAATTTTCACATTAATAACAACATTTATTGTTGATGCTTATGTTTTTTTACCTAATGAAAATGTATGCAAAATGTATTATTATAATCCAGTTTTATTAACTATTAAAGTTGTCTATACATTATTATTACCAGCTATGATGATAATTATTTCATCAGTAATACTATTAGTATTTTTAATTAAAATGAAAATACATATAAGAAATATAAACTTATCAGGTAGATGTTGTAATAATCATAATCGATTAAATATTAAGGAACGTATATTGGTAGCGAAAAGAATGTTTATTATTGCTATATGCCATTTAATATTACAGACTATAACAGTAGTTTTTGTTAAAACTGTTGAAAAATATTGTTGTTATTATACATCAGAGAAAATTTTAGAAATAACTGATTATATGTATATATTATTAAATCTATTAAGATGGTCTACTCATTCACTAAGATCATTTTTACTCATTACCGGTTCTTCTATTATAAATCATGATGTAAAACTTATCTTAAATATTTTTAAGATAAATATTAAAAGTTTTTTGAATATATAAAATATTAAAAAAAAAATTATTATTATTATTATTTTTTATTCATACTCACTGTTGAAGAGTCTTATACTAATTGGACGAAATAGTTGTCCAATGCTACCATGTTTCTTTTAATTCCTCTCCAACTGATATCAGTCTATAATGAGCAACAATTTCAAATATATATATATATATATCCAAATCTTTACAACTCTCTTAACATTTATATTCAAACCAAATTCTTACATCTATCCTTGTAAAAATAAGCTATTTCTGTTTGTTTAAACAAGTCATTTCCATGAAGTTGTAAAAAATTTTTCAACCTTCATTGGGATTTCATTTATATTTATGGTAATGTTTATAATACAAAGTTTAATTTACTGATATTATGTCATTTAATATGATGAAATCATTCAATGAAACTCAATAATGTATACACGACTCTCTAGTGAATAAACAATTTATCTGATACAAACTTATAGAAAGTCAAATATGAACTGAATAGTTCCTAGTCAAACATAGGATTTCAGTAACACGTCTTCATTCCACTCTCTTCTCTGCAGTCTTTCGAACCTGGCTACACCACTCCCTACAAGCTTTCATTTCTTTATCACACCATTTCGTCTATGTCACCCTCGCCTCAGACGCTCAACTTGTCGTTTCCCATCTGGGTTCCACTTGAAGGCCTGGCTCGGCACGTGATTGTCCCCGAATGGTCTCCTCAGTGCATGCTCAATCCATCTCCACTTTCTTTTGCATATCTGTTGAGCGATAAGTTCTTGGTTAGTTCGTTCACAGAGTTCTTTGTTGCTTCAGTAACGAGCTAGCGTAAGCAGTTACTGATGAATATCTGTAATTTGTTGGAAATGACTTTCGTAACACGCCAAGTCTCTGAGCTGTATAGCCCCAATGGCTTGACTATATTAGTGTTGAAAATCGGGATCGTGTTCTTTATGCTGAGTGCAGTAGATCTCCACACTGGTTTCAGGGTAATGAACGCCTGTCTTTCTGTATTTCCGATCCTGGCTTTGATGTCCTCGTCTCTACCGTCGACCGCAGTTGAAACAGTGCTGCCTAGATAGTTGAAAGAGACTGCTTCCATTAACTTTCTCCCGTTGATGGTGATTCGAGCATGTTGTTGTTGTTCTTGGTTGGGTATCTTCATCACCTCTGTCTTCTTTACCTTCACTTGAAATCCCGTCTTCGCTGCCCTGTCCTACCTCTTCTATCAACTTGTTAGTTTTTGCCTGTAGATATTCAAGTTTGTGTGACATCAGACACAAGTCATCGGCGAAATCCAGATCTTCTAGGTTTTTTTCCCTATTCCGGCGTATCTCCCTCGTCTCGCTCCTCACGGTTTTTTGCATGATCCAGTCCACTGCAACCAGAAATATCATGGGTGATAGTAGGCGGCAGCCTTGTTTTACTCCTGTCTTCACTTTACTTCAAAGGCATCACTTAGCTTCCCGTTGTTAATTACCTGTCGTGTGGCGTTTTCATATAGTTGTTGAATGAGATTGATAAAGTTTTGTGATATTCCGTAATGCTGAAGTAGTTGCCAAATTACTTCTCTGTTGACGCTGTTGAAAGCCTTCTCAAAGTCGATGAAGTTGAAGTAGAGAGATAACTACCATTCTATACTCTGTTCTATGATGATGCGTAGTGTAGCGTTGCAATTTGGTCCGCACATGTTTCGCACTTCCTAAAGCCTGCCTGTTCCACTCGTAGTTTTGAATCCAGCGCATTCTTTAGTCTCTCCAGGGCGATGCGGCTTAATATTTTGCTTGCTTTGGGTAGACAGGAGCGTGATTCTGCACCAGTTCTTGCAGACATTTATGTCGCTCTTCTTCGGGAGTTTGACAAGGTAACCCTTCTTCTGATCAGTAGGCAGGTACCTTCCCTTCCTTCCACACCTTCTGCAATAGTGGTGTGGGCATGTCCGCTGCTGTCTCTGCGTCTATTCTCAGTGATACTGGTGGGATTCCATCTGGTCCTGCTACTTTACTGAACTTAAGTAGCTTTATAAAACTAAGGACTTCAACTTTCATGGTAGTAATTGTGTTCACTTGTAGTTCTGTGGATGCAGGTGGTATTTCTGGACGAGTTGCAAGTGGCAGTGGTCGATTCAAAAGCTTTTCGAAGTGGTCAGCCCACTGTTTCTCTTGTTTCTCTTCTTTGGTTATTAGATTTCCTTCATCATCTATTGGATTCATCTGTGTTGATATCTTCCCTATCAGATTGTAACCTGGTTATTTGATACAATGTTGTCACGTCTCTGTCTTCCCTACACGCAGCCTGTTCTGCTTCTCTTGCCACTGTGTCGTAGAAGTGTCTTTTGTCTTTGCGTGCACTCTTCACTTCTTTGTCCAGTGTAGTGTTTTATAGGTTGTATTCAGTATCTCTTCTCATCGTTCATCCTTGCACTAGTTTATCCTCTGCTTCACCATCCTCCTCTCCTCTCCCCTATCAGCTTCCATGTGTCCGTCGAGATGCATTACTTATCTTCTTTCTTCTTCCTTCATAGTACGGTTAAGCAGGTTTCCTTCTACATCTCTTTCAAAGACTTCAAGTGTCCATCCAAACATGTTTCTTCAGGGATGTTCCTCGACATCCCCCATTTTGTCTTGGTGGCTGCCGTGAAGATTTTCTTTGTAGTTTCGTCCTTCACTTCACTTTCTGTTCTGGGTATTGAACTTGAACTGTGGTCTATCACCAACTTCTTTGAAGGCTACCAACTTGATTTGGAAGGTCCCTTGCACAGATAGTGGTCTGAGCCTACGTCTACTCCCCTTCTTCATCTTGTATCAAGAGGGCTACGTCTCTACTCTCTTCACATTGAGATGAAGTCGATCTGATTTTGAGTGTAGTGTGTTCATCTGGTGAAATCAAATCCATGTCGCTCGCTTTGTGAATATGCTTGTGTTTGTACACACTGCCTCCAATCACCAAATCGTTGAATGTTCAGAAGTCTACAAACAGTTCTACATTCTCATTCATCATTTCACCGAGTGCTTCTCTACCCATCATAAGTTCTCCTCCTGTGTTGTTCGCTCCCAGTTTCGCATTCATGTCACCCCACTCATTAGAATTTTGATGTCTCCATCTGTGGTGGCGTCTCGTCTAGTACTGATTGCAACTGTCCATCGAACTCCCCCCTCTCCTCTTCATCTGCATTATTTGTAGGTGTGTAGTGTAGAGTTGCATGATTGTGACTTTACTCTCCTTCGATTCGAATCTGGCTGTCACGATACATATAATGGAGGAGATTGGCTTCCACTTCATGCGATCCCTCTATGGTCTTCAGAACATCATGATAGTGACTCGAGAACTCAGTGTGCTCGTGGTTGTCGTGTGTGTGACAATATCGGGGTAGATTATTGACTCTCAAGTTGAGAGTTTTGAGAGTCCACTTGCATTCCATCTGTAGATTCCTCACAGATTCCTAGCACTTCTTTGTCATACATTCTCATCTCTTTTGCAATGTGTGAAGCCTTGGTGGGTTCAAACATTGTGCTGATATTCCATGTCCCCACGTCTACTTTCACTTTCATCGAGAGAAGATACATCTGCTGATTGACTTTCAGAAGGTTTTCACCAATCGGCGTGATTTCGTCTCCACGATTCCAGTGAGGAATGATTTTGTTTTTATTTTTGTGCTTTGAAGTTTGTTTAGCGGTTTGATTGTTTTTCCGTGGTAGGGTTGGTATCCCTATGCCCAACCTTCCCTCTTTATCCAGTCTTAGGACTGGCTAGTAGTCAGTGAACTAGTTAACCAGGCGAGGTTAAAATGGTCTCTTTAATCTGGCATTATATCAACTCAGCTATGTACAACTTAGTATCGCATTTATGAAGTACATTTCTATACATTTATCTAATTGCTATTTACAAGAGACTACGCATAGGTCACTTATAATGCAAACTCATAAATGAAGCCCGTAACTTTGCACAGAATTTATAGGAAAGTTCCCATATTGTGATTATTCATACTTATCTTGTCTTAGTCGGTGATTGGAAGCCCTAGCTGTCACGGCTTTTGGCAGTGTTAACACTCATCAGTAGAGTGTGTGTGACTACGAATAAGTTAATGTTCTAGTTAATTCTAACATGCATCCCTCAGTGATAAATCCATAGATTTTTACACTGAGTAAATTTGGTTACTTTTGATCTTTCTAGGACTAGACCAAGTAGATATGTCGGGCTACCACGATGGCGTTCTGGTCTCTGATACTTAGCACTGATCAACCGAAAATACGACAGCTGCATCAGTCAAGGCTCCTTAATAAAATTTGGCGCTAAGACAAGTGGTCACAGTGTAACGCTAGACGGATATAACTGAATTAGTTTTGAGTGTTAAGCAGTTACAACTACACCAGAAATAAAGATGAAGTCAGTAAAAGTAGGACTTTACTTGAAAGATAGTAAATCATTATGCCGGATATATTACACCCAGTAAATGTTATGCTAGATATAATGTTGGATTCAAATAATGTGGACATCCTAATTGCAGAAGTAATTAGTTAATAAAGAGGAACTGTTGAAGAAGGATGAATGGTTCAATTTTCTTGCAAAACAATCTGCTTTCAACTGAAAAAAATTGTTATTTGTTTGGAGACGATCGACAGAGAGCCCTATTTCATCTAGGTTCACTGTCTTTCGACACTTGCCAGCAAGGCGTACCTGTAGTACTGAAGGAACTGATATACCAACAGAGATCGGAAGCCGAAGATATTACCACTGAGTAACTATCTACATAACTGAGTGAGATGACTTCAAATCCCTTAGGAGATATCAGTTTCTTTCAAGATGGCAGTTACATCTTACTAGAGAGTGCATAACTGACTGCCAGTCGTCTTCAACCATATGTCAAATTCAGCCATGATAGTGAGTCGACTAGATTGAAGGTCATATTGCAAAATGATCAGGAGAATTTTATCAGCACTTATTAGTAGATAAAAAGGGAAATCGGTTACCCTATCCACTGAGCAATCAACATGGCTTGTAAACGTGTAGCTGAAATTTTTTCC